ATTGAAAGCACCGTGATTCTCCCCTCACACACTGTAATATTACCTTTGTTAAAGACAGAGTCTGTGTGAATCTATTTCTGAATTCTGTTCTGTTCCATTGATTGCCTTGTCTATTTTTGTGACAGTCATGTTCTGATTACTATAGTTTCATAATAGGTGTTGGTTGGGCAGTCCAAATCCTCCACAGTTATTCTTCAAAATTGACTTCGCTATTCTTGGCTTTTTGTATTTTCATTTGAATTCTAAAAATCAAATAGTCTCCAGGTGGTGGTACATGCTTTTAATTCCAGCACATGGAAGGCAGAGGCAGGCACATCTCTGTGAGTTCAAGGTCAGCCTGACTACAGAGAGAGTTCTAGGACAGCCAAAGCTGTTACACAGAGAAACCCTGTCTTGAAATAACAAAAAAGAAAAAAGAATCTGTAATGATAAATCCTTACGCCAAAGCCACCTGAGCCCTGCTGCCATGTGGGTGCTTTCTGCCTGCCACCCGAATCGCCCGAGTTCTGCCTGCTTCGTTAGGGCCCTAAATAATACACAGAGACTTATATTAGGTAGAATGCTGCTGGCCAATACCTAGGATTTCTTACTTGCTAGCTCAGTCTTAATTATCAACCACAATCATAAGACTTATCTTATGGAGAATGCAGGCCTTGCATCCTGTCTTCCTGGTGGTTACCTGGTGATTCCACAGAGAAGAGGAAGAAGAGCAAGAGAGTGACTTCCTTCTTGTCCTTGCTTATATATGAGTCTGCCTGCTATGTCACTTCCTGCCTATATCGCAAGACTTCCTTTTACTACATTTCCCAGAATTCTTCTTGACTCCTAATCCTGCCTAACTTGCTACCCTATTGGCCAACAATGCTTTATTCAACAACCAGTAAGATAAACATATACACAGAAGGACATTCCCCATCATGAATCAAATAGCCATTTTTTTTTTACATTTATAAAACCTACTGGGATCTTGTGCTTCACACACAAGGGACTATTGACATTTTATAATATGAACCTTCCAAATCATGAATATGGCATCTCTCCATTTATACAAGTCTTCAATTTCCTCTCTCTTTCACTAACATTTGAAAGCTAGGGATTGAGCTCTTCAACATCTTTCATTTCATTTACTTTTTATGTTTTTAGGACTGATATTTAAGTTCCCTTATCTATTTATTTGTAGCCAATATTTAAATACAATTCTTAGGAGGCTGATTTTTATAGTTTAGGCATTATTAAACACACATTTACTTTTAATTTCATATTTGCTTCTTTTCTCTGACTACTCATTTTAGAGCTCATTTCTAAGAGTAAAAAAACTATTCTCTGCTGTAACATCACAAAGGCCACAAATGTCTTTTACTTTTGTCCCTGACATTTGATTCTGATATTCAGATTCTTCTATTTCTATTGCCTTTTGTGTCTCTGGGGAGTTTATATTTATTCTTCTTCTTCTGTTGTTGTTGTTGTTTTTTTTTGGTTTTTCGAGACAGGATTTCTGTGTAGCTTTGGAGCCTATCCTGGTACTCGCTCTGGAGACCATGCTGGCCTCAAACTCACAGAGACCCCCCTGCCTCTGCCTCCTGAGTGCTGGGATTCAAGGCTTGCACCACCAACGCCCAGCTATATTCATTCTTAAGTCAAAGACATTTTGGTTATCTCTTAGACCTTTATCTTTCTATTTGAGACAAGCCTAAAAAAAAAAAAACAATAGCACATAGCAACCACCTCAGTATGGTACTGCTCTAAATGATTCTCAACATCAGAAAGCCGGGCATTGGTGGCACACGCCATTAATCCCAGCACTCAGGATGCAGAGGCAGGCAGTTCTCTTTGAGTTCGAGGCCAGCCTGGTCTCCAGAGTGAGTGCCAGGATAGGCTCCAAACTCCACATAGGAACCCTGTCTCAAAAAACCAAATAAATAAATAAGTAAATGATTCTCAACATCAGAGAAGCTGAATTTACCTAAGAAAGGCTCAAACCAAGATTCCTTCCATCTCTGATATTATTTGGTTCTCTGAATAATGTTATTCTATTGCCATAATCAAGAGATGAATGTCAGGATTTGAGATATGACTCAGTTCATAGAGTGTTTGCTTAACATTCCCAAGGCCCTGATTTCAATCTCCAGCACTATATAAACCAGGAGTGGCTCATTCCTGGAATCAAAACATTCAGTCAGCTGGAGGTAAAGTAGGAGATCAGACATTCAAGGTCACCCTTGGCTAACTGGGGAGGTGGGGACCCAGTCTCACAGAAAGACAAATTTCATAGGAATTTTTTGGGGGGAACCAAAGCTCATTCTCTGGAGTTTGGCAATCAGGAGACCTCTGAGCATGAGTGAATTGGTGCTTTGCCAACAGCTGCATCATCTGTGCTGCTTCCAAATTAAATGCCATCTAGAAGTACAAGGCCAGTGCAAGGGAAGCCAGTGGCATAATTCAGTCTAAAGGCACTTGTGCCTCTACTAGTTGACTCGACTAGAAACTTTTGCCTATTTTAGATTTAGTATTTAACCAAGGTAGGTCAGGAAAGGCAATATTTCCTAAAAGAATAACTACAGATTAATCATTAATGCTACAGGCAGAAGTAAAGCAGGACTGCTCTTTGGGTAAAGGCTGGTGGGAGAGAGACCAGATGAAGATTATAAGAGAAGCTGAGAAAAGCTGGTCAAAGTCCAAGTTAAAGTTTAGAGATTTTTTTTTTTATGTGTACTTGTGTTTTGCCTGCATATATACCTGTGTGAGATGCTGGATGACACAGTTGTGGGTGCTGGGAATTGAACTCCTGTACTCTGGAAGAGTCAGTGCTCTTAACCACTGAGTCAACTCTCCAGCAAAGTAAGATCTATCCCTGGTGCATGAGCTGGCCTTTTAGAGCCCATTCCCTATGGTGGGATGGTTGCTCAGCCTTGATGCAGGGGGGAGGGGCTTGGTTCTGCCTCAATTGCGAGTTCCAGGCTTTCTTGACTCCCTATGGGAGGCCTTACCCTTTCTGAGGAGTGGATGGAGGATGTGGTGGGGAGAAGTCGGGGGCAGAGGGAGGGGAAAACTGTGGTTGGTATGTAAAATGAATAGAAAATTTAAAATAAATAAAAATATAGTTTAGGTAAAACAGGTTTCATTTGTGGAAAAAATAATTCAAATGGGTAATGTAAGAATTTTTTCAATGAATAGTGCCATAGACTCTTTTTTTTCAATTTTTAGTGAACATAGAAGATAATGACTTCCTTTATAAAAAATTTAATATGTGCATTTTGCTTTACTCATACTTCCCTGTTTCCCTACATGATTCTCCTTATCCTGCCACTCTCAGTTTTCAGCAGTCTCAAGTAAAATTATTCATGTTGGTATTGCCTGACTTAGTGGTTTATTCCTCATGGTGTAACCTTAAGGTTTAGAAAAAAAATCTGTAGCCTCCTCTTCTTTTGACTTATAGATTATGGGCACTAGGTTCTTTTATGCCTCTCTTAACTCTTTGAATTGACAAAAATAATACAACAAGGGAATAAGAGAAGGCTATTTGAGGAGACCATGTTCAGAGTGTATATTGTGCATGTGTGGAAATGTCATAATGAAAACAAATACTTTTATGTAATTAATATATGCTAATAAAATATCAATTTTTGATGGGCGTTGGTGGCACATGCCTTTAGTCCCAGCACTCAGGAGGCAGAGGGAGGCAGTTCTCTTTGAGTTCGAGGCCAGCCTGGTCTCCAGAGCGAGTGCCAGGATAGTTCTAGCCCCTCTTCTCATAAGGATTAAGTGTAGTATTCTAGAGTCAGAATAAAATTCATCCACCAAAAGTTTAAAAAATTTAATGTTTGCAATAGTACCTAGAAAGTAATTGGTTCATAATTTTTGCACAAAATTAAATTTTATTTTTTAAAGAATGAATGGATTAATCTAGAAATGCAAAATTCAAATACAAGGAGTGGCTTTAGCAAAGGACATCAACAACATTTTTTTCAAGCATTTTCTTTTATTTTTGGTTGTGAGCCTAGCCTGTAACAGCTGAGCCATCTCTGTCCTGTCATTTTCCTTAGCCCCATTTTTTTTTTACTTACAGGATTTTCTAGCTGAATGTTTCAATATTGAAAACCACATTGGTTTCATTCATATTCTCAAGTTCAGTTTGGAGATGGCTTTCCTCTTCAAACCATTTTGGTTTCCTTGCTGTCCTACGTTTCCATGTCCATGGCTTCCATACCTGCAGAGCCGGTAGGGCATCTTTGATGCCTATCTCTGCCTTTCCTATCTGTTGCTGCATAGTGAAAATTCCAGATCCACCACTTTACTGGCCTGTGATTTTTAGATAAGTTCCTCAATTTCTTGGAACAATAATTTCTGTAGAATGAAGATAGCAGTAAAATTTGTATAGGTTGTATATGCATACATAATATATATAGCTCATATATATATACACATTGCACATAATAAGTCCCCAATAATGGTAGATATTGTTAACCTGAAATCAGCCTTCTGTATTTAGAATGTTATACTCTCCCACTACCCCAGGTCATTATCAGATCCAGGACCTTAGGCTCAGTGCTCTACCACTGAGTTAAATCACTAATCAAGATGTTGCATTCTTTTTTTTTTTTCTTTTTGGTTTTTCGAGACAGGGTTTCCCTGCCGCTTTGGAGGCTGTCCTGGAACTAGCTCTTGTAGACCAGGCTGGCCTCGAACTCACAGAGATCCGCCTGCTTCTGCCTCCCGAGTGCTGGGATTAAAGGCATGGGCCACCAACGCCCGGCTCATAGTTTCTTTTCATCTAGTGACTTGTAACATGTTGTTCTTCCCCATGCCTTTTGAACAACATCCTTCTGAAACTGGTGTGCCGACCCTGTCACTTCCTATAGCTTCCAGCTCTGCTCTGGGGCAGGCAGCTACAGAAACTGACACCCAGAGGGTTAAACCTAGTTGCTATAGCCATCCCTCCTCCCCCCAGTGCCCCTTTTCACTGTAGGCTGGCAGCTGTCGTAACTGCCTACTGAAGCCAAATGCTTGAGCAGAGAGAGAGTAAGGAGCCAGCCATGAATCCCTTCCAGAAAAATGAGTCTAAGGAAACTCTTTTTTTACCTGTCTCTACGGAAGAGGTGCTGCCTAGACCTCCAAGTTCTCCAAAGAAGCCATCTCCGGTGAGTCCCCAAATTCAGTTTGTCTCTTGACAGTAACAGCGTAGGTACTTTCTGAAGTTCCTCCTAGGCTGTTGGAACTTTACACTGAACTGTATTAGAGTAGAAAAACTGCTCTCTCGTGGAATTAGAATTCACCTGAAAATGAATTCTAGTTTCTTCTGTTTCAGGAAAAAAGCCACGGGATAGGTTTGCCAGAATTTTTACGTTGGGCCCCAGAGTTTTGCTGTATTTCATTGCATATTTCCTGGGGGAGAAAAAGCACTTTGAATGTCCAGGGAAACTTGGCAAGCAATCCTGTCTGGAGAACTGTATGTTATTGTTCTTTTACCAATACGAAAGCTCAGCCTTTAGCTCCCCTTGTGTGCAGAGACTTCTTTTTTTTGGACACTAACAGAGACTGTAGAATAGACTCACTCTCTGTTACTAAGTGTCCCTACTTTAAAGTGGGAGGCAGAGAGAGGAACAAAGAATAACATCTTGTATTGTGCGCTCCTTAAAGCACTTCCGAATTTATCACCTCAGTCAATCCTCATATTATAGTAAAATCCTCTCAGCAGAGAGGCCACAGAAACAATAGTCACTGTTTGCTAAGTTCTTATTATCAACCGTGAGCTTAGTAGGATTTTTATTTCTTTGGAATAACAGAATTGAAGCACAGAGACAAGCTAGTGGTGTAGCTTAAGTGAAGTTTGAATGCTAATCCAATTAGTACACAGCTAGTGTTAAATAAATTCTATGTTAGGCAGTTCTCAATCTGGGAGCTGGGAAGATAATATTTCAATTCGTTGAATCTTTCATGCAAGGTATTGTCATGTAGTAACATGTATGTAGAAAAATGATTTATTCACATCTACATGGATAAAAGGTTATACTAATTTATTATATACAGTTAATCAAATTGTCTTGTTAAGAATGATTAAAATGAGATACATACCTATGAAATAAGAGATAATGTAAATTTCATGTTAATGTTTGAATGTCTCAAGAGACAGATTATCTCTTCCCATATTAATGCAACTATTGTAATGGAAAGAGATTTGAAATAAAACTTGATACTCTTTACAGTCTGAATTACATAATACATGCGATAGCATAGTTACTCTAATGTGCAGGCTGCAAGTAAAAATCTTGGTGCTAGAGAGATGGCTCAGCATGTCAGGCAGCTCACAACAACCTGAAACTCCAGCTCCAGGAGATCCAACACCTTTTTCTGACCTCTGCAGGCGCCCACATACACATGGCATACACTCTCACATATACACATAAATAAAAAAAAATTAAAAAGCAAATAGTATGGAAGCATACTAGTAGGGAGGGTGGGCACAATTTCATAGAATTTCAGAATTCTCTTCCTAGAGTTAAGGTGATCAATCAGCTTATCTTTAGGAATATCTGGCCTCCATTTTGAGCTCTATGCCTGGTTCCAGAAGCCTATGAAAAGGAGGCCTTCATATTGTTAAGATTTCTCCCAGAATGGTAAATATGGCAGATGGCAGGAGTCAGTCTCTATAGCAAAGCCATGTGGGATAGTGAGATCTGGTTCTGATTGTGTGCGCATCTGGTGCACCAAAGGTTTTTTTTTTTTTTTTTTTTTTTTTTTTGTTTTTCAAAACCGGTTTTTTTTTTTGTGGCTTTGGAGCCT